ACATGACAAGGCGACGGCTTGGAGAGTCCCACTTGTTTCCAACATGTAAGCGTGAATGCTACAGTTTTGATGGTCTACTACTTATCCTGGCTCTATGTACACGTCCCCGTAACATCAATACGATAAAAAGGTTCCCACCCCATTTATGCTTTTGTGTATCGCTTTTTGCCGTCAAGAGGCTGTACGCTGACCGCCCGCGCTGCTCGCAAAGACGTAATACGGCTTACCTCTTCTTGCCCTTGCGCTTGTTGGCCTTGCCGCCTTGTTGAGCACCAGTTGTCTTGACCTTGCTGAGTGAATCGGTGCTCTTGTCAAGCATCTCAAAGTCCTCGCCAGCCGAGTCCGTCGTTGGCGTATGCTGCGGGGTATCAGAGTCGTCGTTGATGTCTTCAACAGCGAGCTCGTCGCCCTTAGCGACGAAGCGGCCGACGGTCTTCTTGAAGAACCAAACAGGAACACGGACGACAGCCGTGTCCTTGAAGGTCGGCTGGAGCAGTTCATTGGGCTACGCATGTCAGCATGTGGTTAACTGCAAAGATTCATATGGGTTCATGCTTACATCGAGAAGGAACTCGTGGACATTGCCTTCTTCATCCGGTTCCTCGAGGAAAACATCGCCCTGTGAGTCGACGACGAGAACCTTGCCGTTCTCCGCAACGACCCTCTTGCGCACGCCAGTGGGTGCAGGACCCGACGAGGCGTCCCGAGAGGCACTCTGAGCCTTGCGGGTGGACTTCTTGGCACGACCGCGGCCATCCTCCTTCTTGGATTCCTTCTCTTGCAAGCGCCGCTGCTTCCTGTTCATCGGCATTGGAGGTGCGTCGTCGTCCGACTCGGGTGCAGCAGGCGCCGGTACGGGCGCGACGTTCACGCCGGGGATGCCCATGTTGTTGCCCCAGGCTGTGTCCCGTGCAAACTTGACATAGCGCTCAACAAACTCCTTCTGCCGCTTCCAGCTCATGTAAAGGATGAGGTAGTGAATGGCTCCACCGCCAAGTGCGAACAAGCCCAGTATAACGGTTCCCAGGCCAGGTCGGTATCGGTTGTAGTAGTAATCGGTACCCTTCCAGAGCGGGAAGCCGTGGGCCAAGAAGTGGTCGTATCGCTCGCGAGACGGTCCGCGCAGGATGTTGGCGATGAGGGACAGTCGAGCCTGTCGCTCCGAAGCCTGCTTGACGGCGGTCCTGATCTCGGCAGAGGTGGGCGGCTTCGCAACGGGGACGGCGCCCGACTTGGCCTTCTTGGAGCCGGCTTTGGCGCGGTCCGCCTTGAGCTGCTGCTTGACCTTATCGGGGTGCAGCGACCTCGTCTTCTTGCGGTACGCCTTGTTGATGTCATCCTGCGATGCGCTCGGCAAGATGCCCAGGATGTCGTAGAACGTGGCCGCAGGGTTCGTCTCGTGCGCCGCAATCTCGTCGCGGATGCGGAAGATTTCACGATCTGCGCGTCCAACTTAGCGACACGGCCGCCAGGACACCCGGAGGATTGCAACGACTGTACCTTCTTTGTTCCACGCCGCCGTCAGCGGAGTGAGGAGGGATAGTATCCCGACGGAGAGGTATGATATCTTCATGTTGGCGTGGCTGGATGCACCGCGTGAGGGCGATTGAGGCGGCGGTGCTTGAGGTCGTGCAGCCGGGCAAGTTTTGGCTGGCGTGTGCAGCGGCGCTGTGAACTTGCTCAGGCGCCGAACGGCCAAGTGGCCCGAGCCGGGAAAGGGTCCTCCTTCCTCCAGCTGCTGCACATTGAGCTCTGGCCTCTCCCGGCACATCGCCAGGCCCCACTTCCTGCCTGGCCCTGACCCTTGGTACCTTGTCACAGACGGAGAATTTGGAGGGCTTCCAGTCTGCTCGGGATGCATGACGCACCACCCACTCTTGGGCAAATTCATCAATGCACGCGCAGCTCTAAAGTAATTACTCGTCCCTCAACTATAATGACCGCCCCGAGTCTGATGCCAAGCGCGCAATCCACACAGACCGCATGTACTTCGTACTCCGGTGCGCATGGTAGTCCCTCTCAGACGCGCAGTGGTCATACATCCTTCACGGTACTTCGTACGTACGATGGGATGCCGGATGTCAAGGACGACGTACGGACTAAAGCAGAAAGGAACTCAGCCAGCCGACGCCTCGCAGCCCACGGTCAAGGGCTGAAAGTGACTTGTTTCCAACTACCTACGGGAGCACGTCGTCACAGATGTCGTACCACAGGGTTTCAGTCACGAGCGTGACAAGGGGAACAAGGGATGCTCAAGGAAACATTGATCACGTTTGAGAACAAGGCCATCCCACGCTGGCTGCGATATTTGATTGCTACGTATTTGAATTGGCTACTTGATGCTTGAGCGTTGCGGTCATACTGCTACTTCTGAGTCCCGACTCCTCGACCATTCTCCCCATCGTCAGAGTCGGTCTCATCCTCTACTCGTTATCTCCCCGGTCTAGCTTTCCATCCCCACCTAGTGACTCTTTGTCGTTGAAGTGGCGCCTCTCCTGCCACTCTTGTCTCTCTGTGCTATTGTCCCCAGCTCCATATGATTGCAACTCGCCGCCCGTGGATTCCTTCTCGTCGAAAGCATACCCCCTCCCGGATACAAGGCCATCATCAATGGGTCATGAAGCCGTTCCCGAGCGCCGCTTCTTGCGGGTGTAAGTCTCGAACTTGCCTCCGGACGCGGGATGTCCCCTCGCGATGTCAGTGAAACGATCGCGCCACTGTCGCGCCTAGATGAACATCTTGGCGACGCCCTTGATGCTGTCCCCCCAGCCATCATTGCCGTGGCCCGGTCCGTAGGTGGACCTCCGCTCCCACTGCAGGCCACCATCACGGCCGCGCTCGACTCGCGCGCCGCCGGAGCCAAAGTCGCCGGCCATGCGCACAGCTTCGCTGACGACGCCGAAGCCGTCACCGGACGCGGCGCGAGAGGCTACGCCGAGCATGCGCTCGAGAGACGGCGGCATTCGCAAGCCGAAGCGAGCGAGCAGGGCGGTCAGGGCCCCGCCCGTGACGAGAGGCATGAGAACCAGGAAGAAGACCTTCCATGGGTGCCGTTTGGCGTAATGGATCAGGTCACGGATCATGCGCTTGAGTCGCTTGTAGGCGCGTTGCATGAAGCCCTGCCGGGGAGAGCGTTTATAGTACGACGAACGGCCTGCGAACGGGTCAGTGAGCGCCCTCAATCCCTCGTCTATGCAGCGGCCCGTGCTCGCCGCGTGATGAACGCACCTCCCAGGCCGAAGAAACTGGACCTGCTCGAATTCCCAAGCCCAAAGAAGGAGCCTCGCGAGGCATTGTGCTTGCTGTAGTGGCTATCGCCCAGGCCGAAAAAGGATCCGCGCGAGGCATTGTGCTTGCTGTAGTGGCTGTCGCCGAGGCCGCCGAGGAGGGATCCGGCAATGGACGTCCCGCCGCGGCGGCGGGAGCTCGAGCGAGAACGGCTGCGCGAGCGGCGTTTCTTGTGTCGAGACCGCGACGACTGCCGGCGATGTGAGGCCGGACGGGAGAAACCCCCGGGGCCGACAGAGAGGCCGTCTGTGAACGGGTCAAGCAGGCCCATGATGTCCTCTTGCGCACCTCCTCAGGCGATGCGTCGTCCGGCGGTGAGAACGAAACTACGTCGTAGCGGACAGGTCTCCTCGTGGTCGTTGCGCCGGTGTGCGATGACCACGGCAGAGGCGCTGGAGCTACCTAAGTAGGTATTCGAATTTCGCGAGCTGTCGTGACAACAGGTTCGTGTTTGGCAAAGGGCTTCCACGGCGGTCGTTGGCTCAATTCCCGCTTCTTGTGGCGACGGGGCTTGCTGGCTTCACAACGGCTTGCCAGTGAAGGCGAAGAGACTCAATGAATCGAGCTGCGACAGCCCACAAACTCCAACGGGCTGCAGGTCAGAAGTGGAGGAACGGCGGTTCGCATGGCATAAGCTGCAGCGGCAGCCGCGGTCCCTCCGTTTCAACCTCACCTCACCGTAAATTCGAGTGGCTGGGAGCTGCTCTGCTTGTGCTACTTCGTGCTGCAGGGATTGATTAGGGGACCGCCTTTCCACTTGAGCATCGATGGCGGGGTGACCTTCATGGGGCGGCCTTGGAGCGTTGGTCCAGGCCTGCTGCTGGTGATCGGCCTTCTTTCAGGGGGGGCTGGCTGGTTCGCAAGCCCGTGCTCCGCTTTGATGCGTCCTTGCTGACAGGACTCTGCTGGCCGCGGCCGTAATACTGGCTGACGCAGTCCGTATCGAACCCAAGGATGCCCATTGCATTGGCACTGCAACCACAAGGCATTACGCGCACCAGCACCAAGCGGCTTCCAAATTGGCCAAATCCGCTAATCGCTGATGGCCCTTGGGAGGCCATGCAGTGCCTCGGCGGCGCCATGTTCACGAACACACTCGTCAGACCCCGACATCTGGACAGCCATTACCAACACAACACCGGAACTTATTATGATGCTCGCCCTCTCTGCCCGGCCCACGCTTGATCATGCGCAGAATTTCTACCGCCATTTACTGTTGGCCATGGATGTCTCCTCGTGCCTTGCAGTTCAGTAGGTGTGCACCCGCTGTAGTCTTCACGTTGTAAGTTACACACGAATCACTACCCTACAGGCGGCGCGGCTCGATGCCACCTCGAAAGCCGCTCACCTCGCCGCTGATTGAAGCCAGGTACACGTACAATCACACGGGCCTGACATTTTGTAATTCTTGCGAGAATTGTCGTGAACATCACTAACCCAAACCCCAACGCTTGTGCAAAATTGCGTTCCAGGCACGCAAGTTCAACTTACAACATGTGACCGAGGTAGCGTGTTGTAGTGCGCATGCTCCAATCTGAGTGACGTACAACTGGATTTCTCGTCCTTCCGAAGTCAACATGCGGCAGAACCGGGAAAAAGAGAAAGAAGAGACCCAAAAAAAAAAAAAAAAAAAAAAAAAAAGAGGACAGCATGCCCTGGGGGCAATACCACCTCGCGGGAACAAGAAATGCAAAACAATAAAAAAAACGGAGTAGCAATTGTACGTTTCGATCGTACGACCTCCGGGTTATGAGCCCGGCTGGATGAGAGTTAGCGTCAATTGTCGTGCAGTGGACAGTTGGCTAGACATACCGCGCTTCCACTGCGCCAAATTGCTTTGATTCGTGCTTGGAGAGTTACTTATTTTGTACTATATTGCTAAAAACATTCCCCACTCAAGCAGCCGGCTGGCGGCGTCTCCCGAGGTGAACCGACGTCAAGCCATGCAAACACTGAGAATGATCACTACAACATTGCTTTCCGTTTCAATCACTACTGTATGCTTGCATTTGTCAAGATGACATGCGAGGCTGTTCTTTGCGCGTCGGCAAGTTCGGACGAAGATGTCGACCCTGGCCTGGACCGGTATAGCTGACGCAGCCGAAGCATTGCAGAACCGTGGCTCTGACTCTAATCAGCTTCGAGTCCAGAGAGCAGGAGCTCTGTGACTAGGTGGGCGATGCGTGTTCATCTCAACGTCGGGTGCACTTTTCTTGAAGAAATACTATTCGCACACATAACCGTTTGTCGCTGCATCACGAATCCGCACTTCTAGGTACGCCCCGGGCCATGGCGCCGTCCCTCGCAAGCCTCGCCCGGCCGATTCCGCGCCTGTGGGGTCCTGGAGAGGCACACGAATGGCCCAAAATCTCACTGCGGAGTTTCCTGTGCGGCTAGACTTTTTCGTCTGTGCGAAGAGTACTGCTCCTGCTTCAGCTGGATTACGTACAAATTCCTCGTCGTCCCCTCTTGCTTGCTTCGAATGATGACACGGGCACCCGTGCCTCCCGCCTGCCACTGACACCATCCGCCATCAAGACATCTGACACCGCAAAGCCCGCCGCCCCAGCCATTGAATAATACGCTGCCGGCCTTGTCTCTAGCATTGCTCGTCGTCTAAACTACTTGTCACATGTCTCGCTGTATCCGCAGTGGAGATGCAACCTGTCGAACTGCAGCTCGTCGAGGAGGCCAATCGATTCCCGGATGACTGCCTGCCACCCGAAGCTGTCTACGACTCCCGAGATGCCTTGTTCAAAGCGATTAATGCCTGGGCGGCTCCACGTGGCTACACCTTTGTGACTGGCAGATCACACAGAGAGAAATCTGGAAAGGTTTCGGCCACATATGCTTGTGACCGTGGAGGCCAACATGTGAGCAAATCAGACGGCCGACGGCGACGCCTCAGCAGACGCACTGGTTGCGACTTCTCGGTCACAGCCAAACAAAGCCGCGATCAGACCACCTGGACTTTAAAGCACCGCCCGGATAGCCGGTATGCCGTCCATAATCATGATCCGAACTGGAATCAGCCTGCTCGTACAGTGCATGGTATGCGACCCAACAAACACACATCGACCACCGGCAGCCTCACCAATGCTGGGCCGGCGCTAAAGGACATCATGACCCATATTCGACAGAAGTCGAACACTCCTCCAAACAAACCGGACGTTTACAGTCGCGTTGCGTGGAGCAAGCGAAAGCTTCGCGACGGGCACATCACCCTGCCGGTCTTGGCCAACCACTCAGACAAAGAGGGGTTCTGGAACCGGACACAATTTGATGACAATGGCCGTGTTAAGGCGATAGTCTCTGCCCATCCAAAGTCGTGGGAATATCTCAAAGCTAACCCAGACCTGCTACTATTGGATTGCAAACATGGATCCAACGCAGGCGGGATGCCTCTCCTTGACGTTATCGGCCTCGATGCAAACCAGAAATCCTTCTACATCGCGTTTGCATTCCTAGGTGGCGAGGACGAGACGGACCATGTCTGGGCATTGGATCGCGTTCGATCATTGTACGAGCTCTGCGGTGCGAGACTCCCGTCACTTGTCCTTACCGAGCGCTGCACCACTTGCATGGCAGCCGTGGCTCGTTGCTTTCCAGCTGCCATCTCTAGCCTCTGCCCTCAGCCCGACCTTGAAATTGATCAATCAACAACTCAACCGACGAACACACGATCACATACTCGTCACGACCCTGCTACAATCGAAGCAGACGAGACACTGGCACGACCTAAGGCGCAGCCTAAATGCAGCAGATGTCACACGGTGGGTCATATAATGACCTCGAGGCTATGCCCTTTGAGAAACACAGAGGCCTCGCAGCAGACAGCAACAACGCCGGCAGCCACAGGGACAGGGATACCGAGAGTGGCGCCGTCGGCAGATGTCCGAACCCACCATGTTTCCTACAGGTTTGAGGTGGTGGAGTAGAAGAGAGGTGACGACGGCCTTCCGATGAACCACAGAGGACACCATTTTCACACCCAGGTGGCAGACGATTATGGCCAGAGCGGGGAGCCCTTCGTGAAATCAAGAAAAATAAGAGGAGTTTCACCGCTATATTCCGAGAACAGTGAAGCCTAGCCGTGTTCACCGTCAGCCTGACGGTAGACATATGCGCGTATTAAGTTCAATTCGACAGGTCGCTGTCGACGCTTCTGGTGGACCAAACAGCGGACGAGCGGGTACCCGTGGCTCTAAACCACAACGGACCTCTTGTTCTGGATACATGTTGGGCTATTCGCTCCGTGAACGCGCCTGGGACGAGCCAGGGCGATGTGGCTCATTGAAGGGGAAACTGTGATTTCAGCCATTGCGACTTGCAGCGTAACATGTTCTGATTTAGATGCACAGAGAACCGCATATGTTCTTTGGGATGGAGCGACCATCGGGATATCAGTTGAAAACAGTATTGTTGGGATCCATCGCTCGTCAGTCGTGGTCGTCTTCTGTCAACCCAGGACAACCCTCCATACTCTTGTCGGGATATGCCTGTTTGCACCAGAAGCAATAGTTGTGCTGCTCCCGCAGGTACAGGACGATGCTGCGCAGTCGCTCCTCTGCATCGAGACTGCAAAATTCCTCTAGCTCCTCGTCACTCTCATCCAGATCCTCTGCTTCTACATACTCTGTAACCCTCTTCCCCAGTGCCGTGATGTCATCGTTGTCTTCGTCGCCGTTGAGGTCCCGGTCGTGGTGGGTGGCGAGCAGAGCGCGGTCATGCCGCCGGCGATCCTGCTCTTGTTGCTGCCGGATATACGCCCGATATTCTTTGGGGTAGGATTTGAGACGTTTTCGTGATGTGATACTTTTCTTGGCGTCGTTATTGTCGCCTCCACCGTTGGGGCTTTCACGCTCGTCGTCGAGGCTTGCTGCGAGCCGTTGGGCCGCAGTAATCTGCTTTTCTAGCTTCTCTACAAGGCGCTCTCTGCTCATTCGATCCCTGTACTCGGCGGGATCGAAGTCGTCAGCAGTTCTGACCGCCTTGGAATTCCGTTGTCCCTCGCCGGATTCCTCAGCGCGCCGCCTCTTCTCGGCGGCGTGGCCGATGCCGCTGCGATCCTCCTTCTTGGTCACGCTGATGGGCTCCGTGATGCCGGACGGATTGCCCTTTCCGGAGTCTTTGCCCAGGCCGCCACCGGTGAATCCCATCTTGGCCATCATGGCGAGTCCCTTGCTCTGCTGTGAGCGGGGACCTTCCAACAGCGATGTCGACAGGGCCTTTTCTCGGGCCTCCTCGGCTTCCTGAGCAAGCTGTGCCTTTGACTTGATGACGCCGCGTTGCCGGGATTCGCGTTTGAGCCGTGCCGCGCGCTGCATGGAAGTTTCCTGCTTGACAGGGTCTTGAATGACCATGGTCATGTAGTCGTCCTCTTCTTCATCGGCGTTGGGTGCGGTGCTATTCGCACCGTCTTCTCGAGCGGACGCCATCGCGCTACGTTGGCTCCAGTCGCCTGCTTAAGGTGGATCTATTTTTATGAAGCACAGGCTTACTCAAAGGTCGGAGAGCCGTGCAAAGGGTGATGTGTTGCGATGGAGGGAGAACGAGCTAAAGCCTGCGATGAGTTGATGGATGGCGGAATGATTCTGCGTAGCTGGTAGTGCGCGCTGGTGCAATGTTGTTGCTACTGGGCTGAGCATGGACCCACCTCATGGAGCGCCTTCAGCTGGGGCAAATGGATGGGCTTGCGCTTCGACGAAAATGCACGGCGGCCCGGACGCCAGAGCTGGATAAAGTCGCTACGATTTGCGTGATGACACTCCAAGGCATAATACTTTTCTAGAGAACATCCGTCGGATCACCAAGGAATGGGCATCGTTGTTGGCGGGAGGCATCATTCTGCCCAGTGTGTCTGGCAACCATCATGCACGTGATAAACAGATCTCTCCTACACAATACTTCCCCTTCGATAGAATAGAGCTGGCTAGGTTTCTAGTGCAGGTTTCCAGTGCATCTAGCTTTACGTTTCGGGTTGGGCCAGCACGGTTAGCGTAGGCCCAGGAGACTATCTTTGCTGTCCTATGCAAGGAGGAGCTGGGCCTCATTTCTCTGCGATATGCCCGTGGTGGGATGGATCATCTGAGGTTCTTTCGTGGGTATGCTTTTACACGCTACGCGGCACTCATACGTGTTAAATTAGATTTGAAGCGCCACGTCAAGGGACGCGTGCCCAACTGAAGTACACAAGTAATTACGGGGGCACCTCCCGTGTCGCTCCCAACGATTGCAACCCAGGAAGGCCACGTTGCTTCCACCCAGAGTCGATGGTATCACCGACGCCCTGGAGTGAGGAGGCTCATGCGTCCGCAGACAGCTTCGAGTCGCTTTGTAGAGTCTGCTGCGTCGACCTCAGCAGGGCAAGAAAAGTCCCACGTGTGCATCCGGACTGCATAAGTGGTAACCGAGCAGGCGACATTCCATAATCATGTTCATTATGCTATTCACTATCCACTTTCCCTCCGCTGCCATCTAGCCCGCCCTTTGAAGCAGTCGCACCTCCACGACGTCGATGCCGCTGATGCAAAACTTGTCCAAAGAATATACGAGGCTGAGTAGTTCTCGTCTCTTGGACGCGCGCCAGCCTAGCGACACGTCGTCAGGCAAGAGCTGAAGAAACGTGCTGTGTGATCATGCTAAAATAACAATATTCGTACGGTCATCAAACCTCGAGCACCCGCGAAGAGCGAATTCGCGCCTCGTGGCATCCCAACTGGTCTTGCCCATGCCAGCTGGGTGAGTCATCCTGGCCCGTCGCGATGGACACGAGCTATGTCCACTGGCAACAAAGTGCGACTCAGGGTGGCATCCGTATCAATCGGGGACAGCAGG